CCGTAATCGTAAGTGGTCGGTATCGCGGTGTTGCCGGTAAAAAAGCGGCGCCCATGCAACATTGATGACGTGGTAACGGACAATACCTTGTCGTCCTTTATAAAAGCTGCTGGGGAGCACACTCACCCATTGGGTGCTCATCCCATTCATTGTGCGATTCGCGTAATTCATATATCACAGCCCATAGGCTGGCATTCAGCGGACTAATTGTGTTCCCGTGGGCAATGCCCGGTTCAATGCGATTAGACGGATGGGGAAGTGGTACAAGACGTCAAAACGAATTCGTTGCTTGCTTCTCGTGAAAACATTGCCTCAAATGAACCATGAGTCTGAGTGAGTGTACTGGAGAACCAGGCGCCTCAGACACCACCTTTCACGTGTCCCTCCTCTGTTCCCGATGCTTGTCAGTAAACTCGGCGAAGCGATGGCGCAATTATTGTTTGGTCAACGGGTGACTCGTCGGATTATAGCACGCTGATGGGCGCTCCCGTTGTCTGCCGTCCCTGACGCTAGCCTACTGTCTCGTCGCGGTCATTTATTATCGCGGCATAGTATCGCTAAAAAAGAACACAACTCGATCGCTACTTTGTCGCGTCTGGACACTTGACGAAAACATTAGGGGAAGTTTGGGCATCGAGACGAAACGACACGTCGACACACCGATCGACAAGGAGGCACCAGACAGCATCTCCCCTCTTGACACATTAATGACGTCTTTAGAAAGACAAACCGCTTCGATTTCACAGCAGCATTCCCACTACAACATGGGTTACTCCCTAATTGATTCAGTAAGTTCCTTACAACATCTGCGAATTACTCTTGACTAGACCCATTCCTATATGGTAACTTCCTGTGGGAATACCATTTAACCGAACCCAGACCCGACAGATTCAACTCTAAGCGACCAGCTACTGACGGATCCCCTCGTGAAAGATGTTATCTTGGGTGTAGCGATAATCGTCAAACGGCGGGTAATGAAGAGCCTGTACCCAAGAAATTTGCTTCAGGTAACTTTGGAAGCGCATAGTACCTCTCTAACCCATTTCCACTGCCCCCTCAGTTTATAAGAGCCCTATGCACTTAAAGTGACAATGGGGCGGAGAAAGGCGTTCACATTAGGAAACGAACACGATGATTATGATGATTTCCCTCGCTGTTACAATTGAATTCCCGTTCTCGATGTCTCGCATATCAAATCAACATTGTGGGAGAGTATCGCGTGTTAATTCAACCCCCCGCCCGTCTATTAGCAGATGATTGTAATCCGCGCGACCCCTTCCCGTCGAGTGGTTTGGCCATGGTTGATTGCTCGGATGCGGGAGGATGTCCTCTTACAATGTCTCTCCGTTCCATTTGAACTCACTAGAAAACACCGATTATATTCAAGTCATTATGATGCTGTTCACGTCTCATCTATCAGTGTCTTTTCATGAAGTCCCTGCTGCTGAGGGAACTTCTTCCCCGCTCTCTCTTTCTCTCTCACCCCATCGCACTCATTCTCACGGATGGCGCTGATGTTATCTCAGTTTCACTGCAAGGCTTCGGTTATGCACTTTGCGGGTTGGCAAGCATTTATCCACTTGGAAATCATAAAAACCCTGACAGTGGGAGACATCAAAGCCCGTGAGAGGTGCGTGACAAGTGTTGTTACTCATTGGCTTCTTAGTTAGTTTAATGTCGCATTTTTGCTTCTCAATGGCTCTTTTGTGTTGCCCCACATCTCTTAGATACTAGATGTGCCCTGGAAGAGGCAGGTAGGCTTTGTTTCATTTTGGCTGCTGCTGCCTACAAAGCCGCCGGCTGGAATCGTTGGCTGCGGAAGTCCCTCTCGATCCGATTTCAAGCCTTGCTGTGATAAGGGAAGCAACCTCTTTTTAAGTGGGTGCCCACCCAAACGGGTGAGGTTAGCGTTTCCGAAATACTGGAAGTGTTGTGAAGATGAATGACATTCCATCAAATCAAAAGTCATATTTTTCATTCGACGATCTGTGTGTCGTTAAAGTGCAGGCAGGAACGTGAACTTACACTTTGAAGTACATAAAGACTTTGTGACGCTGGTCTGAATGGCTTAATGGTTGAATGTGAAGGTATTTAGGGTTCAATGAACACCTAGGATTTCATGGATCTCATATAGCCTTGGTTCTTTTGAAAATGCATGTAAGAATGTACGTTTGCACCATCATTAACTACCGAAAAGAACCAGTTTGCCCGGTCGCGTCGGTGTCGGGACTCCCTCAATGCGTTGCTGTCGTCTCCCCCCTTCCCCCTACATCAGCCATCCGTCCGTCCCCCCTCCGACGATACAATCGCCAACCCTGCCCCCAAACAGATGGGCGCATGATAAATGACACCTTGCCAACAACCTTAGGATGTTGCGCAGTGGATGAGACATGGCTGCTATGAGGTCCCATCCGGCTAATCCTCTTTGATCTCGTCATTTTACACTCTCGAACTAGTTCGAACTCTCTACTCACTGTAGACTACATACGGAAAGCATTACCAGTTTATTGACACTAAGGGCAGGAAGTGATTCGTATAGCTTCCCTAGCTCGTTCTCAAGGTAGCTCAGAGTTCATTCATCAACCACCCATACTGGATTTGTTCCTGGGAGAAGTCAAAGTTGTGGATGTTGAATGTAGTTCCGCGTTTTTTGTAGGGCAATTCTACGGGCGTTGAACTGAACGGTATCCCCTGTTATGCTTTTAATTTTCTCTCTCATCAGCTCGGTCTCGTTTGTTTGTCTCGTGGGAAGAACGGGCAGCTGCAGTCAGTCTACGTACGGGTGGGTGCGATGACGGCAAGTGACACATCATCTCGGGATAATTAGGGATCAAAATACCTCTAAATGCAACGAGAAATCGTCAAGTGGGTGCATTTTTCGGGAACAGACATCCTAGATGTCTTTCCAAAGATGCTCGTAATAGGGTTCATTTATCTTGGCTTGCCGCTCGCTCTTTGGAAACCTAACCAGTCACACGGAAGAACTGGCCAAAAACTGGAACGCTAAGGCTGCGGTTTCGTTTTCATGAGCGGATTTTTCTATTTAATTAATCACAACATACACTGTACCACTACAAATCATTCCGCCAAAGAAATGCATTCAAGTCAGAACAGCGTGCGGTTATGGTTTATGAGCTCTCATGTGTGTTTACTACGGCTGTCGTACTCGTGTCTGCGTCTAATGACCGGCTCGTCCACGACGATCGCCTCATTCATTCATTCATTCAAAGTTCTCTAGCCCTTTCGCAACAATAATTAGTTCTTTGATGTTGTTGTATGCGTTATCGTAAAGAAGTGTGTAGCCGTAATGGCTGCTGACTCGGTCACCGTCCCCGCCGCCGCCGACGCCGTAGACCCCTTCAAATAGCCCTCATGAACTGGTCCTGCTTATCTCAGCTGTTTTTCTTCGAAATTGACCGAATTGTGATAAGATGAATTGCTTGAGTGGGGAGCATGTGGTGCAGCTTTCTGATGCTGTCCAGCAGCTCAACGATCTTCTCCCTAACTCCTTCTTGGCAATCCTGTACCTTCTAGCCAGATGTTCTTCTAGACTTCTTCTATTTCACACTTATCTTATCGTCCATTTTATGGTTCACACTGCGTAATTGATCTCAGTTGCGTCTGGGAACATTTTTCCGTCCTTATTCCCGTCTATTTCTGTCCCATTCTGAACTTTCTTATCGCTCATCATCGCCAAGTGTTTTGCCGTCCTCCGCTCAGCCTTATGCATGATTATACTGTGTATGCTCTTTACTAGTTCCAGTCGCAGCACTTGTTTCGTCATCAAATCGACTAATATGCATGTAGCACAACAAACACCTCTGCATATGGCCTTATCATCGCATTAATAGATTATATTTGTATTAATTGATACACATATACATATGTTTATAATGAAAACAGTCCGTTGAGACCGATAAACATCAACGACGTTATGTCATTTATATAAAACGTAAACTTGAGCGGACGGACGGCCAACAGCCGCCGCCGTCATCACCTTTGTGAATAATCTCGAACAGGAACCGGTCCACCTCTCACACAAATAACCACACCGCGGTTACTAGAGTACCCAAGCAATCCCTGGCTGAACGAACTCCCTGGCAATAAATCTGGGGTGTGAAATCTTCATTGAGGTGACAACATCTCCCCCATGACAGAGGGCCAAGCAGCAATCGGCGCGAGTCATTAACCCACCATCCGCTCTTGCCTCCTTCCCTCCCTCCCTCTCTCCCTCTTTGAGGAAGAACAGCAGTGCCGAAGAATTCGTCGGAAGCGAAGCTGGTCGTTCGGATAATTGCCGTGGTCCAAGTACAATAACCACCCGCAGCAGTCACATCACGACGTATTCCCCTTTTTTCTGTTCGAAGATTATACTCCGCTTAACATGCAGCAGTTTAGTCAGAGACGTTTTTTCGCTTTGATTTGCCATCCTTCAATATGTCTGCTATCAGCACAGGCGGCACATTTGTTAACGGAGCTGATTACATTAGTTTTTGTTCCAAGATCAGTCCTCGTTGAACACCACCAACCAGCTCATACCGTAATCGTAAAAGTTCAAAAGAGTTTTCGACGTGCTTATGATTGTTATAGATCCCCGATGGCGTTTTTTTATGACGTTGTTTTAACGTAACGCGATGCCAATCGCCACCTCTCTACTCGTCGTCGTCTCCGCCCCACCCCTCCCGCTCCCCCTGTTCCCGCGAGACATAGTAATTGTAAACGCCTGGGTGGCTCGCTAATGACCTCTTCACTAACCGTTTCGGTTCGGTTACCCTTTTTACTGAGCCGCTACTTGTTAACTCATTGACTTCCTTAGTAACCTCCATGAGTTCCCTTTTCAAATTGATTCGCATCTGTGATAGTGAATACGCTGGGTTTCGGATCGACGTGGGACTAGGACTTGCTTTCTCAACTTCAGGAGCGCAGCCTCAGTCCTTTTCATAATGTTTGGCTTTCCAGCTACACGATCCAGTTGCACTTCTCAGTTTTCTATTCCTTTAATGATGAGCCTCGAGTTAGCTCATTTATTCTCGAAAGGCCCGCAATGTAGCGTGGAGGAGCGTGTTCATGCCGAGAAGTGGAACCAAGTATCCGCATACCCCCTGAATGGGGGCGGAGCAGCGCTCATTCAAGAAGTCATCAAGCTGAGATTCGTCTCCCCGGCAAACCATGCCCACATACACCCATGGTTCGCTGCTTTGCAGTGGATGACGTCGTTGGCGGCCGGCCGACATCAATTCACCTTCTTCTCCTTCGGCGATCGTCGTCCATAATCGTTGACGCGCCACAAATGTCACTCCGCAAACAGCTGTTATCCTCTCGCAGTATCCTGAAATTTCCGCGCTGACCACTTTGTCGCTACTTCCGCACACATTTCCGCTGACGTTGTTAGCTGCTGCGCTTTCTGTTTGTAGGAGGCGACCGCAGCATTCNCCATTCTTGTTCCATGTTCCAGTTCAATGTCGAACGCATGTTTCACGACCTCTTCATCCACTTCACAGAAGTGATTGTCCAACCTGAGAAGTAATTATCTTCATTTCATTTCTGTGATGCAATGATCTCTTCACCATTTCGAAAAGCGATAATCTGGGGCCTAATCGAATCTTCCGTAGAAGTTCTCTCACAGCCGGCCAGCCCCGATCGCTCGCTTGGAGCTTGGCTTGTGGACGCTTTCTTCGCGTAGGCGAATGACTCCTTAGTACCACCCTTGTGATTAGCGCCACAGTTGCTTTTTTCGGCATCTAATCAAAAATCATCGCCCCTTGTTTCCCTCCGATCTCACGATGTTTGTTTTCGAGAGGGGGGCGACACCGTGGTGTGTGCGAGTCAGTACATATGAATATTCTTTCCCATGCTGTTGGTGTTGCTGCTCACTTCATCAATCTTCGCCCTATTCCCACTGCTTATGCGTGTTCTATGCTTTCTTCCCGACTCCTCTGGCCCGTGTACTGCCCTCATTTGCCACTTCCTACTCGAGAACGCCCTTTCCACCCACTTCAGAGTGCCGAGTGAATGTTTCATGAAGACCACTCTGGTTCGCGGTTCGCGGCACTACTCCATGGTAGCACTTTATTTCGGATGAATGATCCCCCTTTTATACTGTGTCTAGGATATCAATTTCCCGATTTCGTTGCTGTTTATGCATGCTTGGCTTGCGGAACGCTGGGCGGAGCCTGTCGGGGGCGATCCCTTATCCTGACGAGAGGGTGCATCGTACCTCAATTACCTCCTTTTCCTCCTTCATAATCAATGTTCCTCGTCCTTTTGTTGTCATTAATTTGTGATTTCGCCAATTTTCATGCAACTTCGTTTCCTTTTTAATTTCCCACACTTCCCTTTGACTTCTGGCATTCAGAGAGAAAGAGGATGTTGCGTCGTTTTTGCTTCGTTTCCCAGCGATTGCTTCGGTCTTATAACTCTTCCCGTCTTATCTTTATGGCCACCGCGTGTTATCAGAAACTCGCCGCCGGAGGCAGTGAGTAACGCCGGGGCAGTCGACCGTATTCGCTTAAAGTGCCGACCGGCGACAAGCCCTGTTTGCGCGATTCACTTTCACTGGCACACACACTTCTGGGCTTTCGAACACAATCTCATCGCCTCCCCCACATTCCATCGCCTGAAGTTCATTGCTCTGAACTCTTGTCATTTCTCCTTGTATTCAATAGGCATCGATTGGCATACCACAGGGTTGGGAGAGCGCCGTTGAGACAGCCTATTGACCTTGTTGTTCGAGCTGCGCTCCTCCCATTCGACCCAACGACTCGGTTTCCAATCCAAGAAGCCATTGAGATTAACCGTGCCTAGCATAGCATCAGCTGAATCTCCAGCCGAATTTTTAGGTAGGTCTGCTGGATCTGAAACTGCCGGCAGCTGTGCATTAGCGCCGAAATCGACGCTATTATAGCGATGGTTGTAATCCGAAATGAGCAGCTTTCGGTGTGTTGTTGCTTTTGAGTATGCAGGTGTTAAGGTCCCAGTCAACAAGCTGCTTCTAGCCCCCCTGTCATGGCGTTTGATTAGCATTAATGATCGCGACCCTTGCGTTTGAACTTTTGGGTCGTAGCACTGACTGAGACCCACCATCTATGAGAGCGCCCAGTAGCGCGGAGAGATGGATCTACTGCTGCTGTCGCTGACGCTGCTTTCTACAGCGAAGATCCAATTCCCTCTTTTTCCGCCTGTACGTCACACATCTACACCAGGCTTCGAGGCAAACGACTATCATGTCTCCAACGGGATGGATGGGAAACGGTCACGTTTCCTGGGCGGACCTCATTTCTTCTCTATACTGCTAAGACTTTTTGAGGAGGATACCATCAAAATAGCCATCTCCGTTCTTCGCTTTTCTGAACTCTGTCTCGAAGGGTTGCAGCAGCAGTAGAACTGCCCATGCATTTACTCGGCTCGGCTAGGTGTAATTGTGGGCAATAAGGGCAGCGTTGGGACTTGTTCAGTGTTCTCCCCGCTTTGCGCTTTGCGTATCTTCTTACATTCATCCATTTCCTCCCGTTCCTCCTCCTTTTCTCTGGCACATGCTCTCTAGCTGTGGAGTTTTCCCCAACGCCCACAAATACCGACTCTTACGGTCCACGTGTTGCCCCACATAGTTGTTTGGCAGTGCTCTGTGGGTAAGGGGCAGAATTCGAGCGTTCAGCAATCATGTTTTCCCCGCTGCCTAACATTCATTTCTTGAGAATGTTGTACTCTCTGCCTTCGGCACGTCAAAATCTCTAACATTTTCTTTTTTGATTCTTCTTAGCCCCGAAACATCACAGAGACCAAGGGATTCCCAGTCAAAGTCATGGGAGCTCTTTCAGTTCACCTGGAACACCTTCAGAGCTACTTATCTGACTTGTTCTTCTCATAATCAACCAGACTGTCAGCCGAGCTGTTCAGTCAATTAGCGCATCATCTCAGGTCCCCTCCTCCAAATCTGTGGGGGTCATTGCACTGGGGTCATCTATTCTCCCAGTCCGGTTGCTATTCGTCTTCTTCTTCTGGTTCTTCTTATTTCATTGTATACGTCCCCACGTACTCTGCGCTCTCTTGCCACAGCATGCTGTTCCGGGACGGCCTCTCCGGGCGTCGATCACGTTATAGTAGGTCTCGTAAGTCTCGTCGCGAGCGATCTTTCTCTCTTCATCGTCAACAAAGGTGGAAATCATTGAAATCATTTGTTTCGCTTTGTGTAACAGGATGTTTTTATCTCTGTAATGTCCTCATAATTCAACATAGTCAATAGGCATAGAAATATGGGGAATTCTATTGATCAGCACCCTACTTCCAAGTGATCAAGCGTCAAAGTGTTTTTCTTTGTAGTCATAGGCAGCAGGCGAGGGGGGTATCTCTAAATCGGCTACGCGCTATCGCATTACGTCGGTCCACGACCAGGCGCTACTCTTTGTAGCAAAAAAGCGAGAATTGGTCAGCCTTCTCACTTCTGGTCGGTCACCCACCCGCCAGGACCGCTTTCCGTCCGGTTTAGTTCAAGTCCCACATTATGAAACATTCCCTGAGACTACTAAGAAAGACTCGACTACTGCACATTAATCTCGACATCACCGTCACCCAACACATGCCCTTTTCGGTTCGCGTTTTTTCATCGTTGAAATATTGCCCCGTCAAGATTCAAACCGGGGAAAGGTTACTCGGTTATTGGCGTGTTTTTCTATAGTTTCCCTTTAGTGGCAATTAGTGCTAGACCAACCCGACGCGATCGTAGTCGCCCATCAGGTCATTCTGGTCATCTTTTGAGTTTGTTTGTTTACTCATATCAACTTCTTCTATAACTGCATTTTAATACATCTTCAGATGCTTCTGTAGAGCATAAAAGCCAAAAGATTTGCTAGTGTTGGAAGTTTGTCTTCTGGGAGTTGACGGATTTTCTTTTTGTTGAAAGGTAGAATCCTTAGTGAACTATGAGTATGTTCAAAGTATAAGGAACGGCGATTGGCGTTCGGCGACTTTGAAACGACGACAACGCCGGCGATTGTCTTTTCACGGGGTATGATGAATCATTTATGCAGCCCTAGTCATCGTTTGCTTGATTTCATTGAATGGCTTGACGCTAACGTGGGGATCATGAATCCTTTAAGCAGCTCCATAAAGCGGACAATAGCTTTTGGACGAGTATTTCAGGTGTGGGAGCCCCGAGAAAAAGGGATGGGGAGTTTCGAGAAAATTATGTTCCTTGTTCAATGAAGTGGCAGGACGATGAACGGACGGATCGCTGATCGCTCGTGTCGCGCGTTTTCGCTTTCGCTGGTCGCGTCAGCCGCCCGAGCGATCGCACGCAATCGCTCACGTCAGGCGCACGGGCACCCGCACACACACATTGTGTCATAGGTGCTAAGCGTTCGCGGTCGTTGAATTGCTTTCACGATGATTAGTGCGTCGTCGTCGTCGTCATCGTCGTCGTGGTCGTCGTTTGTGTCGGTCCCTTGCTGTTCCCAAGGTTTTTGGCTCCCCTCCCTATCGTGCCGATCCGATGCCACCCAGTTCGAGCTCAAGCTCAAGACGAGCATGATCTGCTGTTGTCGCTGGTGTTGCCTCTGCTCGTCGTCGGATAATCTCAATTGAGCTGTTGCGGGTCGCGAGCGGCAATCCACTTGTGTGTCCACACATACACCCACAGAGAGAGCGCGTACCCCAAGCAGCAGCCATATGTCCTCTCGAGAACACCGCGTTCACGCCTTTTCCTCCTCCAGTTCACCTCTTTGACTTGCCACCCTCTTCTAAGACTCCCGTTCCTGCTGCGAATCGCATGCACGCCTATTTCGCCCTACCGTACTCCGCAAACCAGTGCACGTGTTCCAGTTAAGACTTATTTACCTTCGAAATCACCCTTGAAAGTATTACATAACCTTATGAAACTGTATGGGTGCCTGCTTCACTCGTCGCTAGCAAACTTCCTACTGAGTGCTGATTTCTAAAATTCTCTCATCATTCGGGGCTATGCCCATGTGATTTTTCTGGGGATGACGTGCCCTCTGGAACCTGTACGTCATCATTGTACAGATTTCCAACACGTCGTGTATCTTCTATTGTGTTGTTTGATGAATATGCCCGTAACCACTCAAACAATTGGGAGGTCGGAGTGGGTCACATGGTGGATTTTGGGCGACCCCACGCTTTCTTACTCCACGTTCACCAAAAGCTTAATCTCTTGCTATCGCCGCCCGATTAGAGTAACTCGTCCTTCCTGACTAGTTAAAAAAGCGGCTTACACACCTACAAATAGTTTTCTGCAATGTGAGATGAAACATTCTTTGAAGTCTGGACATTGTCAGTCCGGGAACAACCTTCGAGAGGTCTTTCGCAAGTCAGTTGTTCATTGTGATGTGGTAGCACTGCGTAATCATTGGCGTTGTACTATGTAAGTCGGTAAGTGCGTCCCAAAGCGAATGCCTGTGACGTTGCGTGTGTGCATACATACAGAAGAGAATTGCAGTGTTTTTTGTGTGGCTCGTTAATTAGACGTTTCATGGGGCGATGACCGTTAGGAGTCTGGGCTCGGACATTAACGAGGTCGATTTCACTTGGGAACACTTAGGTGAGTACTACTCACCTCCGAGAACAACCCGAACCCGACTAATCACTTCTTGTTTGTCGTTGTGTGTGCTCTGTGGTGGAAGGCGGTCTCTCTGGCTGTTGGCGGTGGCGTATCCGTCCGTCCGTCCGTGTGGTGGTGGTGCAGTGCTGCGTCCTCTTTGATTGCTTGCCTGTGTGTGTGTGTTTGCTCTCTCTCATCTCCACACTGTTGGTGTCGATGTTCATTATTTTCTCATCTTTTTCCAATTTTTTTTTCATTCCCAAATAGAAACGTGTTTCCCCCACCCGTGTGGTGTGGGGTGTGTGTGTTGCCCTGCCGCGTGTCACTGACACCACTTTTTTATGGCCCTTCAACATTGCTGCGCTATTGCACTATTGGAAACACTTGTTGTGCTGGTTACTCACCTGATTAACGACTTTTTCAATGCGCGTGTGGACTGATGTTCTGACAAGGTGCGAGACTCGTCACCCAGTTGATGGACGAGTTTTCCGCACATCCCCAAGCACCACATTCCTGATCTATCGATCTGAACACATTCAATAACCAAAGACGAGAATGGATTTGTGCCAGTACCCAAATTCTTACCGTAATTTCAGTCACATTCATAGATTCATTTGAGACAACGTTATGTCGTAGATTGGCCTATACTGCTGCAACCAAAACGTGTTATTTTACGATTACCGAAAGTTTCGGGCATTAGTGTGATTACGGTAGGAAATTGAACCCTTTCTGAATCTTCTTATTACATAGTTATAATAATTAGAGCATTTATTTTTCTATGTAGCTTCTTCTGGATTATTTCATTTTCAGATGTCATTTTTTTTCTTTGCAGAAGAATTCTATTGCGGAAAACATCATTGGTACACTAAGCTTTCCGGTTAGATATCGAGTGGGGTGTACCCTCCCATTTGGGGGCGGAGCACTTCCGTTACTAACCAGTGCATTCATTGATGCTTTTACACAATGAATAATGAATTGTCCAAGATGTTTATGATCTTTATACCGTAGCCAATTTTAATTGGAAGAACAACTTATCGTCGATGTCATTTTGCAAACATTCGTCCTATATCACTACATTTAATTTCCACCAATTATGTAATTACTTAGCCCGTAATTGCTTTGTCATAGGGGCAGCGTCCCTCAATTATGCTGTTCAAAAAGGGCAGTCACACACGAGCCGAAGGCTTATCTTACACTTTTTTATCCGTAATAGGCATTACCCAGTTCTTTGGTTGGAATTCTTTTCTTTTTACTCCATTTTCCTACATGCACGTAGGTATGCATGCACGCTTTGCAAGTTACAATTATCCGTTAGACTAATTTAAATTAACTGACTGGGTGAGTCACCCATTAAATAAGCGTGATGGTCCCATTTCGACCGCTTTCACAACGGTAGCTGGCTACGGTAGGTAAAACATGGATCGTGTGTTTAGCATTGGCAAGATGCAATGGTTATTCGTGAGCGATTTATCATAGGGAATGGCATGGCTACAGCTCTAACTGACATTAACATAAAGTCGCAATTGTGGTACGGTTCGAAATATACCCAAGGTTGTCGAGCATCTCGAAATGCTTGTCATTGGAATGTCCGAGGTTTCCAGTCAGGCACTGTTGCGCTCTCGACACTTGTTCACTCGCTCTTGTTCACAGGCTCACAGTTTTTGGATATGGGCCAGAAAAGGATCGGGTGCGGGCCCAGGAATGGCCCGCAATGACCTCTGAGTGCGTGTGTGCTGCCCACGTCGCAGCGACGATTGTGCTAGCCGCCTCGTCACAAGTGCCTTCAAATTCGTCTTCGAATCATTTGAAGAGATCATTATTTTCTTTGTCCTTCGAAAAAAAAAACTTCATCGCTCGTTATTGCCTCAATTTCTCTTATTGCTTCTGTAAATACATTTATTTATGCTGCGCTCTGTTTATCAAGCAGCTTTAAATATTTGATCATTCTATGTTATTGTAGCAGTAGCAACTATTTGCTCGCGTTATTTTGATGAACGTTCCCGAGGAGAAGATCGTGAAATATGATTCACAGCTGCTCTCAAGAGCTTATTCCGACATTTTCTTTCTTTTTATCCTAATCTCATGTTCTTCGTCAACATTCTTCGTCTCACTTATGGATGTGTTTTCATTCCAATCCGATCAGGATGTGATATTTAACGTTTACAGATGACAGAAGACGGGGAGCTTAGTCGAAGTCCGGACCAAAATGCTCAAGCCGGACTTTGGGAGGTTGAACCATTATACTACAGTATACCGGGTCGCACGGATCGCAGTCGACGGGGCAAGGTACTTGTATCGTATGCATCTTTTTCGCTTTGTCGTATTCAATGTTAATTACATATTCAACATAGTGGGGAATTCCTCACTGCCCTTGGTGAGCTGATAAAACTGATCTTTTCTTCATCTGGGTCATCTATTTGAGATCATTCGGCTGTGGGGTCGTTACATAATTTTTCTAGTTATTTTGTTGATGTGTTTTTGACTGGCCATAAATTGCGAAGTTTGGATGACTGCGGCCAGTTCGAAGTCATGCCACTTAAACGTTTTCACGTTTGACATGCAGGGTCCAAAATGTCCAAAAAATGTATGAAGGACATTTTTTTAAAACCCTGAAATCTTTCTTTTAAAACCTGACTCCTTCGCTATGTTGTCGAAGTGTAGCTTGCAGAGGCCCCGTTCCTGATCTTGTACTTTTGTTTGCCAATTCGTTTGATTTTCATGAAAATTGTTTATATCATTTCAAATACGCTAAATGATGAAACTCCGAGAGTGACTGGTGTGCCAAATTGTATTCATTTCACAATTTTTCACATAGGAGAAGTTTGAAAGGTTGTTCTATTCAATTACGTTGCTTGGAAGCGTTCACTTCTGGCATAATACCCGTTTCGATTGAAAATTTCCAATGCGTTGGTAATTTGAAGTGCTAGCAACCTTGAACTTAACTGGATCTAGATCTTTTGCTTTTTTTCAACGGTATACATTTGGGAAGTTGATTTTTGTTCTGAGCGATTCCTGGAGTTAAAGTAGAGGTCCGTTCAAAACAAAGATGGAGATTCTGTGGTTTGTTATTAGGTTTCGTTCGCTGCCTACACATAGTAATTTATAATTCCCCTGTGACTATTTTGTGAACGTTCATATGTCCAATAATTTTGGGAACATTTTTGAGTACATCGAAATAATCAAAGAATAAAATGGCAACCCGTTTCCTAAGTCCTGAAAATAATTGAATAAGTTCTTTGCTATATAGAATTAATGTCTTTCGAGAAAAATTCAAGTGGTAACATTTAAAGATTTTCATAGAAGTTGGATGAATAATGTCATATGCATCTTTGGATTCTCGAAATATTTTGGAACGTTTTGAAGATATCGGTTGAAAATGCTTTATTTCTAGGCATATCGTAAGCGTACAGATGGCGAAATTTGCTGTTTCGAAGCGCATGACGGCGTTGTGTATAAACCTGGTGACACCGTCTATATAGAGGCGACTCCATCCGATCCCTATGTAGTCGGATCAATTACAATGTTTAAAATGGTAACTTTTTCTTTCTTGAAATCTTTTTTTTGTTTTTTATCTTGCACTGATAACTTCGCGTTAAAGTTTCGCAGTGGCAGCTTCACGTTATCGTTGAGCTAGTCTATTCGTCCATTTTATCTATGACTTCTCTACGATTATAGAATCGAGTACATGTCACGCTTTTGAATGTAACACGGCTTCCTGTTAGTATGTGTAAAAGTGCAAACGCAGAAAAAAGCCTGCGGATAAAATTATGATGGTTTCAATTGAGAGATTAGTTACCACGAAAATGATTCAATTCCAAGTTACACTCTTGCTTTATATCTCCCATGAAGCCCCCCAAAAAAGCAAGGTTCCAGTGTTTATATTCGAGCCAGCTTTCGGTCATGGGGATCTTTTTTCAATGAATAAAATTAGGTCCCACCGTTTCAACTCATCACCATCACTCGATTCCAATTCAGTGGGATCTTCTATAATCAAATCCTTCTACCTACATTTGCAAGTATTATAGTGCATTTTTTGAGCTCGTCCGTTTCTAGTTGTCACTTTGAAGGAGAAGGTGACATGGAAGTGTGACAAATGATTTTTGAGTTGTTCCATTCCGCTTTTATTAGGCCACCATTTGTGTTTCCCAAAGAAGGAAGGGCTAAATGGATGGTGTTGATGGTTCTCCTTGGTCATGCCTTTAAGAACTTTGTAGTCTGGACTCTACAGTAGCTTACCCTGGCTGTTACATGTCACATCAGTGCGTCATTCTCCTAGGCAATTTCTGCCAATTAATAAACCTCGTGGAGATAACGACAGGGAATCTTTGTTTCTTACTACTCAACATAATCTCTGTGCTACTTTTACATTTATTTTCATATGTACATATTATTCATGTTTAATAGTAATGAAAAATAACTGTAAATTGAAGATCAATTACCGTTATACTTTCCAGTGCTTTTTTTGCATATTCATTCTTGTTGTTGGTGTCTATCGCATAATAGGTTATACACACTTATATTCAAATATTTTTGTCCTTACATTGGACCTCTTAGGTCAATAGAACAAATTTTTCCCTTCAAATATGCATTATCTCTGGTCAAAAGTCAGAAAAAGAACAAAGTGCCGACGCGCATAACAGATAACATTGTGAATGGGACCCGCTTATTGTTGCGCTGCGACGGGCTACTGATTGGTTTTCGGAAATGCTATTCTTGTTCCTTCCGAATGCACATTCTGTCATTGTAAATCTCTTTTGAGTAGTACCGGGTATAATCTTCTTTTAAGCTTAGCGAGTACCTATCAAAACTGTGATAAAAACTGATAGGTCCTCGAACTATGATGCTCTAATTTCCATTTATCTTCGCTTACAATGCCGAGAAAGCGATGTTGTCCTTTCCTTCAACGGATTAACATGCTTTTGTTGTTATTTACTTATTTGACTTGAGCTTGTTTCACTAATTCCCATCCCAGTCGGAACTTCAAATGTGGAACATTCTGTGTTGTGCAGAACAATGAACTGCGAGGCTAATCTTCATGGCCCTCGTAAACATTCCCTTTAGTCTTCGGCCGCCTGCGTGTCGAGATGCCATCTCAACGCCTCATAAAACAACTATGGCTCAACATATGTGCACTTAAGTGTGATATGGCCCAGCAGTCGAAGAACATTTACCAATCCTTCTGCAGTTTTCATGTGGCTATAGGGTTTTAGTAACTTAGCGACCTGTGTATTTAACGGGGCAGGTTAGCAAACAGAGATTGTTGACAATAGATGCGTGTATTGTTGGATTCGCAACGACCATCATGGGGAATTATTCTTTTGCGGTGACACCGACTCTTTCGAATGTAATGTAACCACTGGGTAGATGTTTGCAGAAGTATATGTAGATAGGCTTTCTTTGACATAAAGGACTGGTGGGAGGCTCAGATATGATCGACTTAGCATATAATTAGGTAGGCGAGGGTTAGGGATATGTCATACGGATATTAGCATATTGACCAGTATCCGTGGAACGCACTCGAATCGTTGGATGATTAGGCGCATGGCGCCGTTTGACGTGCCAAATGGCCCGCTACGCAATTAGGAGACAGCCGGCCTGCCTGCGCTCTTTGGCGCCACCTCGCGCACATTCTGTGGTCGGTCGCTACGTCGTCCACTACGATGGGATGCGTGACATCAGATCGATGTATGACGAAAACGAAAGCAACATAGAGCGATGAACGCAGGAACTGGATTTGTGTCGCAAAGAAAGCGCGGCGTCTTAAGACGTTCTAACGTGCTCGCTTATCGGCTCAGGGATTTGCCGCGCTTAACATTGTAGCGCAAAACTGTTCTGTTTTATGTAGTAATATGTTCCCCATGCTGGAAACAATCGAAAAATGTGGAAACCATTCCCTCAAAAAATTATTTTCAGACGAAACGGGACATGCTTTCTGTGAAGGTGTCCCGATTTTATCGACCGGAAGATGTGCCGGAAGTTTCATTAAGTCTCATATCGCAAGAGCGGTTAGAAATGAATTTTTCTGTCGAGCCAAGTCCGGAAGTTCTTTCGCGAGAGCTGTTCACCTCAGATACCACAGCCTTCCACTCCATTTCCAGTCTAAGGTGAGTAAATTCAAATTTTGCTTTTCGTTTTTTCTTCGAATTGTGTGGGTGCTAGCGGGGCCCTCGTGCTCGATTTTGTCGTCCCCCGTCATCTGACCCTAGCAGTCCATCATTGATAGAGCCCTGCCACTCCCGTTTCTTTTCTCACTCTTCATCGTCATGCATACTCGATGTTAACGACCCTCCGAGATGTTGACCTTTAACGACGAATGATTATTCGTTTTACTTGAGTGCCGCTAAATGCACTTCAAGCCACAAGCCACTGCGAGAAGTCGTGGTAGTACATTAATGATTTATGAAATATTATGTTTTCGTTGGAGGCATACGGAATGTAAGACACTCCCAGCCATTGCTTTATTCAAAAGGTTTCTGAGGCAACCATTCTCATCGTCGACCCTCAGTTGTAGAATGCTGCGAATACGACGTGAAGAATTATTTCCGCTGAATCATTTTATGCCACCTTAATCGATGCCGTTAACGAGCACAGCGGCAATTATTCGGCAAAATGGTCACTAGGAGACACCCCGACTGCCTTGTGACTCGGAACGTTAAACGGTCAATTGCACAGCTTGTCTTTTCAATTGCTGTTAACGTGATGCATGATTGGTGATGTGGCACGAAATTGTCAGCATTTTCTCAACCCTGGGTGGATTGACACTTATGAGTACTTGATTTTAACGAATTGTCAATCCCTCGTCTCATTCTCGTTTGTTCCCTATGCATAGAAACAGAATATTTGCGTGCATTTCAATCACACTCAACAAAGTAGATAATCATGTTGCGATGTGGACGGTCCGTAATCACATTTCGCTCCGTCATCCTGCGCTATATTATTCGGGGATGTGCTCAGACGACACTTTGGATATACCTCCCGCATGTTTCATGACTGATGGTTGATGGTTTGCTGTTGTAAACATTCATTAAGCAACATTAAGTACTTGTGGGAAACTAGCTGTCGATCTACCGATGCCATTTCGAACTTGTAGCTTACAAACTACTGTGTTTTGCCCCACCATTTTGCCAAACCTGGGGCTTTTTCCTTATTTCTGGAGGCTACTTTGGGATGGAACATTTCTCTTTGCAGCGTGAAGTTCGAAAAGCTGCTGGTTAGTCTTTGGTAGCTCATCTGACCCTCGTGGACAGTAAATTCGATTGGTGAAGTGAATGTAATGATCTTCCAAAAGGTTTCGCTACCGATTGTCCTTTTATGACTTCTTTCTTTCCTTGCTAATCCAAATCCCAATTGTCCGACGTAAGAAAGACAATGGGGAGCGAAGACATGGATTGTTCCCTTTTCATTTCATCGAATTCATTTAGAACGTGTTTGCAGAGTGCTTCAGTTTCATTTGCTTTACAGTTGTTTCCATGGTTTTGCCACACCAATCGTTTTAAAGCTGCGTGTTTTATGAATATTAATGTGGTAGCTGCTCGATGGTCACGTTATTTCTACCTCTGTAGTGCGTTCAGTGACGTTAGCGCCCAGTGCAGACCACACGTATTCCGTCCCGGAATCCCCCGGCCCCCGTTCACCTTTGTCCAGTGCATTATGCCGCTGACTAGCCTCCACGTTGTCCCTCAGTCTCCAGTCATTGCATGGGCGTGGTTTTCTACAAGAGTTGTCTGCCGCGTATTGATCGGCCGCCGTCGGAACGCACCAGCCGGCCTACCGCTTCCAATCCGTGACCCTCGTCTGCTCTTTTGCTTCTCACTCTTTCCATCCATCTGAGTAGCTGGATAATTGAAATATGTTTCAGAGGAAAGTGTACGATCACTTTTGTCAAAGACATCCGAAGTCTTGGTGATTGTGACCTGGGTAAAGACAATACATTCTTCTCTTGCTTATCCTACAATCAAGAATCATCAAGGCTGGCGTCTGTACAAGGAGAAATTCGTGTCGGAGCCTCTTATCAGGTACTGCTTTCACTTTTCAATTGTCGATCAATTTTCGTCCTTTTCTCCGAGCTTCATTTTTATTCGTCTTGTTTTCTTGTTTTGCCATCCACTACTGTTTTACTCATTGGATTTACCTCATCGTGTGGTTCTAGAAGTTGTGGATTAAGTTTTCCAACACCCCGGCTTGAACAATGTTTTTGGGTCTTTTACAGTTTTTATATGAACTTCGGTTCTTCATTATTTCGCCGTTCTGTGCATCCTCGAAAGCTTCAGCGAAGCTATTACTCCCAAAACGCTGGGATTTTTGTGGTTGACTCGATTTGCGCTATCTGGTAATACGGTTTGGTGATGAAATTTATGGTTTGAGTGGCNTTGGACATTGCTACTTTGACCCTTGTTGAATGCTGCAGTCCGGAAATCGGCAAACATATTTAACCAGCCATTGAACATGCGTTTCGTTTGCGTCTCTCCTGTTCATCTCTCTTCCTCTTCGGTGAGCAGGCGTTCTCGGGTTCTTTTCGCCCGCTGTTGTTAGGCATCGATTGCTGTTGTTCGCTCTCAATTGCCTGCTGAGTGGATGAGGAGAACGTGCGTTGACCTTTTCATTTCTGGGCAGCAGGTCTTTAGATGACTGAGAAAACACTCAATTTCCGATCGGAAATTCAGGGAATTCACCTCATTGGTGCCGCCTTACACATTTATTAAATTACCTATTCAGCTTCTTTTTTGTTGCTTCGATACGAAAAGGTTCTTATCTAAAGTGCTTAGTGATGCAATCCTTTTTTCTGTGATTGAGTAGCATGGTATCCGTTTCGTGACACTCTATTGCCAAGGTGTTTAGCAATAACGCCCTTTCTGTTTTTACAAATCCGATTATGAGCAAAAGTACTTTTTAAACGAATTCTCTGCACGATTAGGATAATTGCCCGATTATGCAACTAAACTAGTCACTGTCGGCCTCCGTTTACGTCGCGCTCTTCTCTTGAATGTCTTTCGTCTCAGGCTTGATTTTGTTATAATTATCGTGTTGGCATAAATGCTGTATGGTTGGATTTCTCCTCGAAGCTCTTCCATACATTATTTTTGGGTTAGTTCCACGAACGATGACATTCGAAGGTAGTGTCTGGAAATGCATGCCTCTGTACTCTTCACTTATTGTTAGAAAAGATAACTTCAAAATTAAATCATTCGAATTTCTTCGTATAATTTGCTCAAAATATTTCGTCTATCACCTACTGTAATTGAGAAGTTTGTTTGTGAGTGGGTAAATAAGGGTCGGATTGGGAAATCGCTATCAGGGCTGATTAGTTTTTCTTGTGGAATTGACTAAAGTGCTATGTTCGTCATCTCAAACATCAATAGTCTCAGTTAATTGGATGCTATAGCGATGGTCTTAATCCATGTTCGTATCCGTAGCTCCTCCAATGTCAATCTTGCCAAAGCTGTAGTAATGTCTTATATTCGTCCCTGGAGATCTTATAGCCTTCTCAAGGTTAAAAATCCTTATAAGGCGGCAAAGTCTTCCTCAATACCCAAGGAAATCAGTAGTGAAGGATTTTCATCATGTCCAGGTCGTAAAAAGAATATGGATTGTCTTGTGTTTGCTTTTTCTGAGCCTCACTGGCGAGTGATTACGGTGGTGGAGTGTTGTAGGTTCCTTAGGCTATGCTTTGAGGAACTAATCCGATCGAAGAGTATCAAGACGAAGTTATTCAATCAAGAACTTACTCATAAATCAGCACATCCTCACTTATTGTTACCTCCTCATGCTAGTTTACTTTGTTGAACACTTCGCTATTCTTATCAGTCTGTCCTTAAAGCCACTTCGTTATCGTACATGTCTCTTAACCCGACTTTTAGGCTAAGCTGCCAGCTGAGGCGTCGTGCTCAGTGGCAGACGAACCCGATCGCGATGAACTACTCTACCGACCTGGTATGATTGATCCAAGCACTGAAGACAAGTACATCAAGCTTGCTCGAAGCTTTCGAATGTTTGCCATGATGGAGACAAGAATGATGGACACCGAAAAGCATTCGAGAGTGAGTTGAAGTCTGACAATCTTCTGATTTTTCGAGCAGTCATTTGTCATTGCTTTGAAGTGCACAACTCAGATTTACTCTGAAGTCCGATCCTGTCATTGCACCATAAAATGAGGTTTAATTGCACATTATCCCAGATTAGTCGGTATTGCCGAACTGCTGTGACACCTGTCTCGCAGTCATACGGTAGAATGGCAGGTGCAGTGGCCGCCGCCGTCACCGCTTGTTTCTGTTGTTAATTTGTGCGCGCGGGGGTATTAGTATTGATGATATATGTACACGTGTGTGCGTGAGATCATTGTGATGAATTCTTTTTAGGTAAGCGATCTTCTGTTCGACGATGCCCTCACCACATTGCATCGTTGTGGCTATAAATTCGATGAGGCTCTCAAGGAAATGAATGCAAACGATAAGCTGCTATCTGCAGATGCAAACTTCATGACTGTGGACGACACAAAGAAATTTTGCAAAGGAATTAAAACGATTGGAAAGAATTTTATGCGAATCAGTCGAGAATTACTTCCGCTGCACAGCAGGGTAAGCATAACTCACTCAAGTAATTCCAATCCTTGCTCTCGGTGCATTGAATCACCCACGTAATTTCAGGATCAGCTGGTCGGTTTCTACTATTTATGGAAGAAGACATCAGATGCTGTTAAACCCAAACCGCTCTCTCGTCAGCGCAATCAAGTTACGTCAATCAAGCGAACCGCAAAGAATGCTCAGAACAAGGTATTACGTCTCGGCTTCATCTTATAATGTCATGTGTTCTAATCTGATATAATTAAGACATCTCGACCCGCATCAACGGAATTACTGGATTATGCCTCTGCAAGCGAGGGTGAAATGGAGACTCTGGACGCTGAGAAAGCAGCGCAGTACGCGTGTCATCATTGCTATGGCTCCAGTGAGTGTTTACTTGTCTTAGTTTGAAAAGTTCTTTTATTAGAACTTACATTTTACGTTTACTAATTACTGGTCATTGATAAAGTGCTCCCTGCAGAGAGTCGAGACTGGCATCATGCTGGTCGTGATGGGCTTCTATTATGCTCTGACTGCCGACTGTTTTACAAAAAGTACGGTCAACTCAGACCAGTTGATCGTCCATCAACTGTGCCTCCGTGCTTGTTCAAGCGCAGTCCATCGTGCGCCGATGTCGATGAGGACAGCGGCGTGAGAACTAGGGCAGGAAAGAAGGAACGGCGGAGGTTAGTCGTGCTTTTTGTTGATGTCGTTTTGTAATTTATTAATGAATTCTAAGGGCAGGGTAAGGACTAATTGAAATTCCCAGTCAAGTTTTCTGCTAACGAAAGTGCCCTTATACTTTTATTTTCGTTCTCATGATACCTCGAAAGGCTCCTTAGTGAAAAGAGCTTATATTGAATTTAAATGTGTTATTTTTGATGACCTACGGGCATAGATACCTCCGTGACTATTTTATAGCCCCTTTGTCTGCTATATTATGCATTGCGTGCTTTCGTTTCATTGAAATGTGAAGTTTTATTTTAAGGACTCCGTCAATGGGCGAAGAGCGAAGAAGTCCCAGCCAAGCGGCCTCTATTCATGAGTTTGACCTGGATAAAGTGCCCATAAGCAAAACGAAAAATGGCAAACGAAAGCGATCCAATCACGTACACAGCGCAAATGGATTACCCTCGAATAACAATAGCGCCAAGAAGAAACGGGTATGTTTTCAAGCTTTGCCCTTTGTCAGTTTTACTACTGGCGTTTTGCACTCATTTATCACCAACTCGAATTCTAGGAAGATGCCGATGAGGACAGCAATAGTGGTAAGGAAGAAGTTAATGCCGAGGAGAACAAGGCAACCACAGCGCCCAGCAGCGTCAAACGGGAAAACGACACAACTGAGACACCTGCCGCTACTAGCCCGGTTTCAAACGAGAAGTCACGATTGGACACTGCCGTCGCTGAATGCGAAGTAATCCATTCTTCTGAAGACTTGTCGTTACAAATCTGAAAGTCTCTCCAAATTGCTTGATGTATTACGTTTTTTTTAGCGTACTGCTGTGATGAAGCAAGAACCCGATTCCGAAAAGCCGCTAGAAAAACTTGAGCAAGTCGCAATGATGGTCGAAGATGTAAAGCCAGAGACAGCAAGTGTCGCAGAACCGAAAAAAGAAGAGAAAATCTTCGATGACATCGATTTCGAAGAGAATGACGAGAACGTTGCCGCTGTCATCGAAGATGATAATACCTGGAAACATGGCGATCAGGTAATCTATCATTTCTTTTTATTCAACGATCTTATGTTTCCAATTTCTTTGGGTAAGAATCCATTGATGGACGCTAAAATTCTTATTCCAGGAGGCTTGCACATCAAAAAACGCGATATTTGTGCAATCTATCGTTCGTTCGTGCGGCCAGATGAGTGCTCGCACTGATCTGTCATATCGTATGCCGAGCGATTGTGAATGGGCGAGGCGGAAACGCGAGAAGAAAGAGAAAGCTGCAGCAGCAGCGGCCGCTCAGCAACAACCTGCGACCCCGACACAACCGAAAAAGGTACCCGTCACTCTCAAGTAGCGTTCAACTAGTCGGTCGCATGCTCAGTGATCCGATTTCAGGCCGAAATGAACGGTATGATGCCCGGTGGAATTCCTGATTTGTCACGGGTGACAGCCATGAATGGTCAGATGCCCATGTTTCATGGAATGGACCCGATGACTGTAGCCATGATGCAGCAAATGCAGCAAGCCCAGCTCCTCGAAGCCCAACAACATGCTGCTGCACAACAACAACATGTAAGCTTCGCATATCTTTGGTTTTTGAAGTGCTTAGTTGAAGATTCCGAAGTAAATACCCTTGTTAATCGATATGTTTCAGATGATGAAGATGGAAATGCAGCGACAGCTAGCAGCCGCTAGTCGCATTCCCATTATGTCGTTCATGGACCAACGAATGGCAGCGGCAGCCGGCCTACCGTTTATGCCGACTCAACAGCCCACTGATATGCAACGATTTCAAATGGAGATGATGCAGGCGCAGCAGATGGCTGGTGCGATGGGTGGCGCCATGGGCCATCCTCAGGCTCTTGCCAATCCAGAGATTCAAGCCCTTATGATGCAAATGATGATGGCAAATCAAATGAGTATGCCGCAAATGGGGCCACCTCCAATGCAGGCACCAACAGCGATGACTGCCGGCCTACCGCCCAGCATAGGACTGCATCCAGCCCTGATTCCGTCGTCACAAGCAAACGGTCTTATGACGAATTCCGATATGATGCGACGGTTACAACAGGAAGGGTTCCCCATGCGCCCCCAATGACACCTGTGCTGTTATCTTTCTCCCTCTCAAGTGCGTTGTCTTTCCTAATTCGGGGTATTGCCCCGTGAGATACTCTATGTAAATATGAACCTCCGCCAAACTCAGGTTACCGAGTGCCTTGCGCTCTTTTCAATGTTTGTTCGTATTCTTCTTTGGCGGCGCACATGCGCCGTCGACGTGAAACCGGTTGCTTCCGAGTCCTTTAAATTTCGTTTTTGTTCTGAGTGGACGCGGTACGCCTTCTTGTCTTTTTGGCTTCCATCTCATCATCCCCATCTGCTCTCGCATGAATGTGTGTGTGCTGGATGGATTCTTTAGATGTGTTTCATAATAGCTATATGATGGCGCTTGTTGTGATAGTTTATTATTTGTTTAACCATCGGTCCAAGACGAGTTGTTTTGTCAATATGCCCGGAAAATAATAAAAATATAAACATTTTTTGTTGTGTCGAACAGTTGCTTATATCATGCATTCATGCCTCATTCATCATGCGTCCGTCGGGCCGCTCATTTATGTCCGAAAGTTCACGGTCACCATTTCGACAAGGGAAATCAAATCGGAGAGAAGAGTGTCAGGGTGGGTTGGGTGATCTGCAGACAGGTGGGGGGAGTAAGTGGCACAGGGCGTCACCTTGGTGTTCGTCTTGAATACTTGTGCGCTTGTTGTTTGGCTGTTGATTCCGGGGAGTTTAGAAAACGCAGCAGTGTCTCCCGAATGTTTACACAGCCGTGGTGCGAACGCAACTGGGGGCTAGCATTCATAGTGCTACCTATCTGTTTAGGGTTTCTATTCGGTCACGCGGCTACGTCTTTGATTATAGCCCCAAATCATAAACAGCACATGAGTCTTGAGATATAGTGTGAACTCAGAGAGAGGCCTTGGGACACACAGTACCGATCGGGAAGAGGGGTACTCTTACCGGTTGCTACTAATTTCGAAGAATAACAGTTTAGTTGACATTTCGTCCATGGCGTCCGCTGGAATGATTTCGGCGATTTTGATTGGAAATCGGCCCGATTCGGGATGTCCTCACTAATCACATGGGGATACAGGTAGGGAGTTTTACTGAACAGCGATTCTTGTCTGTCCTCGTTTAACCTTTTTCTTTCATCAAAAAAGATTTTATCAACAAAAATGGTCTGAATCGGAACACGAGACGCTTATCCTTACTCAGTTACGCTGCTTGGTAGGTGAGTATGACCCCCAAAACCATGGGATTTGGTTACGTCATGCAGAATGGCTTCATGTTTTATCTTTCCCAATTATATTATAGGTACCAACTTTGGATGAATAAAATTTTCGCAAAAACTTGAGCAAGACGAAAATAGAATCCTTCCGCAGCTGACATATTCCTCCATGAGATCCTTATCGAGATGTATTAAGAAAGGACCGTAATATTGTGATGACCGCTGAACCAGGGTGGTTACTGACTGGATCCCTGGGGACATCAAACGAACTCTAAGACGGCCGCCGACGAAATGGTCGCCCTTCTTCACGAAAGCTCTGAACGAAAGGAATGTTGGAACTCGTGTCCCTGAATCGAGGACGATTCACTGGACCACTGTGGCTCGTGACAGGGACAAATGGAAACGATACTGGCGCCCGCTCGAGGAAATCGACGATCAACGGGACGACAGGTGATACAGGTGATTAGAAAAGGACTTGCAGAAGTAAATCATGAAATAATAAACAAAAAACGGAGCAGGCAGAGGATGATGGACAAAATTTTTCGGCACGCCTACAAGGTCCTCTAAATCCAAGGATAGACTGATGGATGCATGAACT